CTCAGCCACCAGAGAAGCTCTGTTTCTGCCATACAACAATGCAAAGTCGGCCATAATCATGCATACATTCCCTCCTTCTTGAGCCTCCCTTCTCTTGCCCCACCCCAGCCCTCTAGGTCACCACAGAGCACCAAGCTGGGCTCCCTGCTTTCCACAGCAACTTCTCACCAGCTATCTGTTTTACACATGGGAGCGTGTATATATATATATACATGTCAATGCCTCTTTCTCCATTCATCCCATTCTCTCCTTCCCTCCCTGTGTCCACAAGTAATTTTTTTTCTTTTTTGCATTATCAGTGGGTCCTACTGATCTAACAACCAACTTACCCACTCCATTTGCATTTCAGATGGGTGAGGCTTCTCTGTACAGGTGCCTCTATTGTCTTTGATCCTATGCTCAAGGTTGTCTCACAGAACAGTTTTCTTCCCATTTTGCAGTACTTTAGCCTTCCTATTAGCAAAAGAGGTGACCAGCCCCATAGACCGAAGGGACTACAGTCACAGGATGGGGATTTCCTCTTACTTTTTGTTTTCTGACCGAGCTGCATGGCATATGGGAGGGAGCTTAGTTTCCAGACAGGGATTGAACCCACGCCCCCTGCACTGGAAGTGCAGTCTTAACCACTGGACCACCAGGGAAGTCCCGCCTCCTCTTACAATTTTTTATTTTGATGTTTGGAATTCTTTTGTTGTTTGAGTTTTGGGTTTTTTGTTTTTTTTTTTTTTTTTGGCTTGTTTGGAGTTCTTTTTGTTTGTTTGTTTGTTTTTAATAGAAATAAGAGCTTCCCAGGTGGCGCTAGTGGTAAAGAATCTGCCTGCCAATGCAGGCGACACAAGAGACATGGGTTCAATCCCTGGGTGGTGAAGATCCCCTGGAGGAGGACATGGCTACCCTCTCCAGTATTCTTGCCTGGTGAGGAGTCCTATGGATGGAGGAGCCTGGCCGCTTACAGCCCGTGGGGTTGAAAAGAGTGGGACACAACTGAGTGACTGACACTACTAGACTACTAAAGTTGACTTACAGTGTTGTGTTCGGATGTTTGGGACTCTTGATGCCAAGTCTATTTATTTTATTGTTTTGAGTATGAGTTTATACACCCTTTCTGTGTTTCCTGTCTAGAGAAGATCCTTTAGCATTTGTTGGAGAGCTGGTTTGGTGGTGCTGAATTCTCTCAGCTTTTGCTTGTCTGTAAAGCTTTTGATTTCTCCTTCATATTTGAATGAGATCCTTGCTTGGTACAGTAATCTGGGCTGTAGGTTATTTTTTTTTTCATCACTTTAAATATGTCCTGCCATTCCCTTCTGGCCTGAAGAGTTTCTATTGAAAGATCAGCTGTGGAAATCCTCCTGTGTATTATTTGTTGTTTTTCCCTTGCTGCTTTTAATATTTGTTCTTTGTGTTTGATCTTTGTTAATTTGATTAATATGTGTCTTGGGGTGTTTTGCCTTGGGTTTATCTGTTTGGGACTCTCTGGGTTTTTTGACTTGGGTGATTATTTCCTTCCCCATTTTAGGGAAGTTTTCAACTATTATCTCCTCAAGTATTTTCTCACGGTCTTTCTTTTTGTCTTCTTCTTATGGGACTCCTATGATTCAAATGTTGGGGCGTTTAACATTGTCCCAGAGGTCTCTGAGGTTGTCCTCATTTCTTTTAATTCTTTTTTCTTTTTTCCTCTCTGTTTCATTTATTTCTACCATTCTATCTTCTACCTCACTTATCCTATCTTCTGCTTCCATTATCCTACTGTTGGTTCCCTCCAGAGTGTTTTTGATCTCATTTGTTGCATTATTCATTATATATTGACTCTATTTTATTTCTTCTAGGTCTTTGTTAAACCTTTCTTGCATCTTCTCGATCCTTGTCTCCAAGCTGTTTATCTGTAACTCCATTTTGTTTTCAAGATTTTGGATCATTTTCACTATCATTATTTGGAATTCTTTATCAGGTAGATTCCCTACCTCTTCCTCTTTTGTTTGCTTTGGTGGGCATGTATCCTGCTCCTTTACCTGCTGGGTATTTCTCTGCCTTTTCATCTTGTTTATATTGCTGTGTTTGTGGTTCCTCTTTATTGTGGAGGTTCCTCCCAGTGGGTGGGGTTGGACGAGTGGCTTGTCAAGGTTTCCTGGTTAGGGAGGCTTGTGTCGGTGTCCTGGTGGGTGGAGCTGGATTTCTTCTCTCTGGAGTGCAATGAAGTGTCCAGTAATGAGTTTTGAGGTGTCAGTGGGTTTAGTGTGACTTTGGTCAGCCTGTATATTGAGGCTCGGGGTTATGTTCCTGTGTTGCTGGAGAATTTGCGTGGTATGTCTTGCTCTGGAGCTTGCTGACCCTTGGGTGGTGCTTGGTTTCAGTATAGGTATGGAGGCGTTTGATGAGCTCCTATCGATTGATGTTCCCTGGATTCAGGAGTTCTCTGGTGTTCTCAGGATTTGGACTTAAGCCTACTCAATCTGGTTTTCAGTCTTATTCTTACAGTAGCCTCAAGACTTCTCCACCTATACAGCACCGATGATAAAACATCTAGGTTAATGATGAAAAGTTCCTCCACAGTGAGGGACACCCGGAGAGGCACAGAGAGTTACTTGGAGAAGAGAAGAGGGAGAAGGGAGACAGAGGTGACCAGGAGGAGAAGAAGGGGAATCAAAGGGGGAGAGAGCAAGCTAGCCAGTAATCACTTCCCTATGTGCTCTCTACAGTCTGGATCCCGCAGAGATGTTCACGGAGTTACACAGAGAAGAGAACAGGGAGGAAGGAGACAGAGGTGGCCAGGAGGATAAAAAGGGGAACCAAAACGAGAGAGACAGATCCAGCCAGTAATCAGTTCCCTAAATGTTCTCCATAGCCTGGAACACACAAAGAGATTCACACAGTTGGGTAGAGAAGAAAAGGTGGAGGGGGGGAGATAGAGGTGATCTGGTGGAGAAAAAGGAGAGTCAAAAGGGGGAGAGAGCAATCAGGCCAGTGATCTCGCTCCCAAGGGAAAAATGGGTACTGAAGATTGGGTTCTTAAAGATACAAAGTTGATAACAAATACCAAAAAGCAAAGATTGAAAATCTAGAGTAGAGGTTAGATTCTCAAAAATATAATATTTAAAAAAAAAAAGTCACAAAAATTATAAAATATATATATATGAAGTTTGCTTTAAAAATAGGGCCCTTTCTTTGCAAGGTAATAGTAGGTTATAAAAATGAAAATTAAAGGAGTAATACAGAACTTAAAAATAAAAAAATAATAAAAAATAAAAAATTTTGTTTAAATTAAAAAAATGATAATAGTGAAAATACACCTAGGACTTTCTCTGGAGCTGTTGTGGATAGAGTGGGGTCAGTTCATTTTCAGATAGTTCCTTGGTCCGGCTTGTACTTCTCATGGCCTATAGGCCCCTTCCTATGTAGTCGGTGCTAACTACAGGGTTTTAATCTATTGCACCTGTCATTTCCAAAGCGGTTCCCTCTCTATTTTAGGTTCTTCTGTTTGCTGGTCTCTTCAGTGTCTAACTTCCGCCCTGACACAAGGGGGACAGTGGTGTCACTTTTTTCAGGCTCCCTTGTTCAGTTGTGCTGTGGGGCGCGAGGAACACCGCGAACAAATATCCCCGGCCTGTGCCCCCAGTGATTCAGGCACACTGCGCTTGCCCCCGCGCACGGCGTGGGTGCTTTCCCAGTCTACACTGCTCAGGCTCCAGGGTGCTCTGCTGGGAACTGTCTGACGCGGCCCCTGGGTTGCACGCCCTGCCGAGGTCTAAGCCCCTCAGCTTCAGGTTCTCCGGTGCTCCACAAAGGCGCAGACTCGGTTGGGCCTGCGTTTTGTGCCCTTCCCAGGTCCGAGCAGCACAGGTCAGCAGGTGCTTGGGGGGCGCAGTCGCCCCGGTTGGAGGCTGCGACTTATCGCCTCCCCTGCGCCAGCCACCCGGTTTTCTGGGTGTAGAGTGGCGCGCCTTCTCAGGTGGGCCGTGCGTCTCTTCTGGGGAGCTGATCTCTGGCTGCGACCCTCCTGGTGGATGTCGACTATCCAGAATCCCAAGAAGTCTTGGTTAGCAATGAGGCCTGCTTGCAGTTTTGTACAGAAAGCCTCTCTGGGGCCCCAATTGCCCCTTTCCAGCTCTGGCTGCCCTCACCTGCCTGCCTCCAGCAGGGGATGGGTCAGCCCGCAGCCAGCTAGCTCTGCTCAGTCCTTTGTTCTGTGAGCAGGCCTGGTGGTGTCTTAGGTTAGGGCCTTTTGCGGGGTAGCTATCCCACACTCTGGGTTGCTATCTCAAGCTAGTTCCCTCAGATTGCCCTCAGGGCTTTCAGGCCCGGTTCTTAGCCTAAGCAAAGCAGCCTGCGCCTCCCTGTCCAGTCCCTGCTTGCTAGTGGGGGATGTGAGCGTCTGGGCTGCTGCTCCGCTGGGAGTTGCTGTTAGGCACATAATCTGTGGGGTTTAATTATTTATTTATTTTTCCTCCCAGTTATTTTGCCCTCTGAGATTCCAAGGCTCCCAACAGACCCGCTGGAGAAAGTGTTTCCTGGTGTTTGGAAACTTCTCTCTTTTTTAAGACTCCTTTCCCGGGATGGATCTCCATTCCTACTTCTTTTGTCTCTCTTTTTATCTTTTATATTTTGTCCTACCTGCTTTCCAAGACAATGGGCTGCCTTTCTGGGTGCCTAATGTCCTCTGCCAGCGTTCAGAAGTTGTTTTGTGGAATTTGCTCGGTGTTCAAATGTTCTTTCGATGAATTTGCAGGGGAGGAAGTGGTCTCCCCATCCTACTCCTCCGCCATCTTCTGTGTCTCCCCTGAGGCCAAGTCTAGAGCAAGGGGTTCAGGACCTGCTGTGCCCAAGGAACAGATAAAGGACTTCTTGGTGACTGATGCACAGATGAAAAACTTAACACACAATAACAGAAGTTGGTTGTTACTAAATCACATCCTACTCTTTTTCTGTGCTTTCACAAGCAGATTACATCTTCTTCAGTTTGCCCATGCCTCCAGCTCTTTTGTAGTTTTAACTTTGCAGTGTCCATGGTGCTTATGTACAGAATCAGTTTAAAAGACTGTCGAATTCCTTTTCTCTTGAAAGTGAAATTCACTCAGTTGTGTCCGACTCTTTGCTACCCCATAGACTATACAGCACATGGAACTCTCCAGGCCAGAGTACTGGAGTGGGTAGTTATTCCTTTCTCCAGGGGTCTTCCCAACCCAGAGATACAACCCAAGTCTTCCACATTGCAGGAGGATTCTTTACCAGCTAAGCCACCAGGGAAGCCCAAGAATACTGGAGTGGGTAGCCTATCCCTTCTCCAGTGGATCTTCCTGATCCAGGAATTGAACCAAGGTCTCCTGCATTTCAGATGGATTCTTTACCAGCTGAGCTACCAGGGAAGCCCCAGAGCAAACAGTTGACCCTGACACAATCAATTTTTTAAAAAAATTTTACTGGAGTAGAATTGATCTACAATGTAAGGTGAGTTTTAGGTATACAGCAAAGTGAATCAGTTATATGTATACATATATCCACTCATTTTAGATTTTATTCCCATGTAGGTCATTCATTACAGAGTATTTAGAAGGGTTCCCTGTGCTATACAGTAGGTCCTTACTAGTTACCTGTTTTACATACTAGTGAGTATGTGGATCCCAAACTCCCAATTTATCCCTCCCTTCTTTCTCCTCCCTGGTAACTATGTTTGTTTTCTCTATCTGTGACTCTATTTTTGCTTTGTAAATAAGTTCATTTGTACCATTTTTTTTTTAGATTCTACATATAAGTGATATCATATGATATTTGTCTCTGTCTGACTTACTTCATTCAGTCTGACAATCTCTAGGTCCATCCATGTTGCTGCAAATGGCATTATTTTATTCTTTTTATGGCTGAGTAATATTCCATTGTATATATGTACCACATCTTTTTTATCCATTCATCTGTCAGTGGACACTTAGGTTGCTTCTACATCCTGGCTATTGTAAACAGCACTTCAATGAACATTGGGTGCCTGTATCTTTTCAAATTATAGCTTTCTCCAGATATATGCGCAGGAGTGGAATTGCAGGATTGTATGGTAGCTATATTGTTAGCTTTTTAAAGAACCTCCATCTGTTCTTCACAGTGGCTGTACAAATTTACATTCCCACCAAACAGTGTAGGAGGGTTTCCTTTTCTCCATACCCTCTCCAGCATTTATTCTTCATGGATTTTTTGATGATGGACATTCTAACCAGTGGGAAGTGATACCTCATGGTAGTTTTCACTTGCATTCCTCTAATAATTAGTGATGCTGAGCATCTTTTCATGCTTTTTGGGCTATCTGTGTGTCTTCATTGGAAAAGTTCATCTATTTTTCACCTGGTCTCAGGTGTATCTGAAAGATTACCTTTCATCACTCTCTGCTATCACTTGTAGGGGGTGTTCTGGATCATCCCTTTGTTTTGCAGGTTTGTTGGGAGAGGGAGCTTGGGGAGGCTGTGCCACTGTGGAGAGGTTGTGGGTTACCAGGATGCCTCCAAGAGCTGGCCCCTCCCTTGGCTGCAGGAAATCATCCTGGAGCCCCGCCCATGATGCCTTGTGGGCATCTGCAGTGGCAGCACTTCACTCTGGATGAATTTCTTGCTGCTCTATATGGACCAGGGTGCAACTGTGACCAAGAACTCCTTATTCACACAGTTTCTTAAGCCTTCTGGGATGCAACTTGTGATTGCCAGGTAGGTCTCTGCTCACTCGACCATGCCGTGGGAGGTGAACAAATGAGAGATCTTTCAAGGACCCTGAGCGAAGCTGTAAGGCTCCGATCAGTGCACTCCCAAGGGCCACCCCTCTATCCTGCCTTCCTTGAGGTTTGGAGCTAAGGATTTCTCATCCACCAGTCCCTCAAGTGTCTCATTCACCAGGGATGCTCCATACCTCATCTGCTCTTTTTTTTTTTTTTTTAAAAAAACACCTCAAATTTTACTCATGGTACAGAAGTATTTCATAAGCGCCATGTTGGTAGAGAAAAACACACAGCCTACAGCTCATCCTTTAAAACCAGAACAGCCAAGTAAAAACTCAGTATTTTTTTTTTTACTGAAAGTCAGTATTATTTTTACTTGAAAAATTAAAACACAAACAGAAAAAAAAAATTAAGGTACACATTGGGAACGGAACTACTATGGTTTTTGTTTCTAGGGATGTGACATCCATGCTTTCTGCTCAGTGATGTTCTACCAAACATTGTGCTAAACCAGTGTAGGAAACCCAAGCAAACAGATGACCAGTGAGGCTGTCTGCTCTCTCCTACTGGTGCTGAGGGTGACCAGTGGAACGCTATCAGGATGAAGTTATTTTGACAGAAAGAAGGGAGTGCAGAGGGCTTCCCTGGTGGACCATTGGTTAAGTATCCTCCTTGCAATGCAAGGGACACTGGTTCAATCCCTGGGCGGAGAAGATTCCATATGCCATGCAACAACTGAACCTGTGCACCACAACTACACAGCCTCCACTCTGGAGCCCACGAGCTGCAACCACTGGAGCCCACGTGCATAGAGTCTGTGCTCTGCAACAAGAGAAGCCACCACAATGAAAAGCCATCGCCACACAAGGAAGAGCAGCCCCCGCGCGCTGCAACTAGAGGAAGCCCGAGTGCAGCAACAAAGACCCAGTGCAGCCAAAAAGTAAATTAAATAAGTAGATACAATCTTTTTTTTTTTAAAGAGAAGGAAGTACAGAGCCCTTAGCCCAACAGAAAACCTAAAGAGCTGATTTACACAGAAAGCGTTTTAAGCAAACTTGTGCAAACACCAAGGTGCTTGACGAAAAGAATGCCTTTTAGTCTACTTCCACCATGCATTCATTAGTGTCAGTAAAATAGGACCACCTGCTTTATTTTGTTGTTGTTGTTATTTAATTCTTTCTTTTTTTTTTTTTACTTTACAATATTGTATTGGTTTTGCCATACATTGACATGAATCTGCTATGGGTGTACATGTGTTCCCCATCCTGAAACCCCTCCCACCTCCCTCCCCATCCCATCCCTCTGGGTCATCCCACTGCACCACCCCAAGCACCCTGTATCATGCATCAAACCTGAGCTGGCCATTCATTTCACATATGATAATTTACATGTTTCAATGCCATTCTCCCATATCATCCCACCCTCGCCCTCTCCCACAGAGTCCAAAAGACACCTGCTTTATAGTAAAGTCATTGACGAGGTGGTGGTTATGTCCGAGGAGATTATAGTGGAAGGAGACGACAAGGCAACCGCTCTGATAACAGTAAGTCCTGAGGGGCACAGACCATCTGCAGGCCCAGGGACTGCTCAGTCCTGTCCTTCAAGTAAGGGTCATAAAATACGATGCTGAGGGATTTTCCTCGGGGTCCAGTGGTTAAGGCTCCGAGCTCCCAATGCAGGTGGCCCAGGGGCAGATCCCTGGTCAGGGAATTAGATCCCACATACGGCAACTAAGATCAAAGAATGCAGGGGATGCAGGCTGCTTCCCCAGATCAGCTTGATGTTGTATATTGATGTGCCTGAATTTGGCAATAAGGAGATCATGATCTGAGCCAGAATCAACTCCCGGTCTTGTTTTTCCTGACTGTATAGAGCTTCTCCATCTTTGGCTGCAAAGAATATAATCAACCTGATTTCAGTGTTGACCATCTGGTGATGTCCATGTATAGAGTCTTCTCCCGTGTTGTTGGAAGAGGGTGTTTGCTGTGACCAGTGCGTTCTCTTGGCAAAACTCTATTGGCCTTTGCCCTGCTTCATTCCGTACTCCAAGGCCAAATTTGCCTGTTACTCCAGGTGTTTCTTGACTTCCTACTTTTGCATTCCAGTCCCTCCTTATTGCCAAATTCAGACTTAAATTAAAGAAAGTAGGGAAAACCAGTAGATCATTCAGGTATGACCTAAATCAAATCCCTCATGATTATACAGTGGAAGTGAGAAATAGATTTAAGGAACTAGATCTGATAGACAGAGTGCCTGATGAACTATGGATGGAGGTTCGTGACATTGTACAGGAGACAGGGAGCAAGACCATCCCCATGGAAAAGAAATGGAAAAAAGCAAAATGGCTGTCTGAGGAGGCCTTACAAATAGCTGTGAAAAGAAGAGAAGTGAAAAGCAAAGGCGAAAAGGAAATATATTCCCATTTGAATGCAGAGTTCCAAAGAATAGCAAGGAGAGATAAGAAAGCCTTCCTCAGTGATCAATGCAAAGAAATAGAGGAGAATAACAGAATGGGAAAGACTAGAGATCTCTTCAAGAAAATTAGAGATACCAAGGGAACATTTCATGCAATACACCTAGGACTTTCTCTGGAGCTGTTGTGGATAGAGTGGGGTCAGTTCATTTTCAGATAGTTCCTTGGTCCGGCTTGTACTTCTCATGGCCTATAGGCCCCTTCCTATATAGTCGGTGCTAACTACAGGGTTTTAATCTATTGCACCTGTCATTTCCAAAGCGGTTCCCTCTCTATTTTAGGTTCTTCTGTTTGCTGGTCTCTTCAGTGTCTAACTTCCGCCCTGACACAAGGGGGACAGTGGTGTCACTTTTTTCAGGCTCCCTTGTTCAGTTGTGCTGTGGGGCGCGAGGAACACCGCGAACAAATATCCCCGGCCTGTGCCCCCAGTGATTCAGGCACACTGCGCTTGCCCCCGCGCACGGCGTGGGTGCTTTCCCAGTCTACACTGCTCAGGCTCCAGGGTGCTCTGCTGGGAACTGTCTGACGCGGCCCCTGGGTTGCACGCCCTGCCGAGGTCTAAGCCCCTCAGCTTCAGGTTCTCCGGTGCTCCACAAAGGCGCAGACTCGGTTGGGCCTGCGTTTTGTGCCCTTCCCAGGTCCGAGCAGCTCAGGTCAGCAGGTGCTTGGGGGGCGCAGTCGCCCCGGTTGGAGGCTGCGACTTATCGCCTCCCCTGCGCCAGCCACCCGGTTTTCTGGGTGTAGAGTGGCGCGCCTTCTCAGGTGGGCCGTGCGTCTCTTCTGGGGAGCTGATCTCTGGCTGCGACCCTCCTGGTGGATGTCGACTATCCAGAATCCCAAGAAGTCTTGGTTAGCAATGAGGCCTGCTTGCAGTTTTGTACAGAAAGCCTCTCTGGGGCCCCAATTGCCCCTTTCCAGCTCTGGCTGCCCTCACCTGCCTGCCTCCAGCAGGGGATGGGTCAGCCCGCAGCCAGCTAGCTCTGCTCAGTCCTTTGTTCTGTGAGCAGGCCTGGTGGTGTCTTAGGTTAGGGCCTTTTGCGGGGTAGCTATCCCACACTCTGGGTTGCTATCTCAAGCTAGTTCCCTCAGATTGCCCTCAGGGCTTTCAGGCCCGGTTCTTAGCCTAAGCAAAGCAGCCTGCGCCTCCCTGTCCAGTCCCTGCTTGCTAGTGGGGGATGTGAGCGTCTGGGCTGCTGCTCCGCTGGGAGTTGCTGTTAGGCACATAATCTGTGGGGTTTAATTATTTATTTATTTTTCCTCCCAGTTATTTTGCCCTCTGAGATTCCAAGGCTCCCAACAGACCCGCTGGAGAAAGTGTTTCCTGGTGTTTGGAAACTTCTCTCTTTTTTAAGACTCCTTTCCTGGGATGGATCTCCATTCCCACTTCTTTTGTCTCTCTTTTTATCTTTTATATTTTGTCCTACCTGCTTTCCAAGACAATGGGCTGCCTTTCTGGGTGCCTAATGTCCTCTGCCAGCGTTCAGAAGTTGTTTTGTGGAATTTGCTCAGTGTTCAAATGTTCTTTCGATGAATTTGCAGGGGAGGAAGTGGTCTCCCCATCCTACTCCTCCGCCATATTCTGTGTCTCCCCTGAGGCCAAGTCTAGAGCAAGGGGTTCAGGACCTGCTGTGCCCAAGGAACAGATAAAGGACTTCTTGGTGACTGATGCACAGATGAAAAACTTAACACACAATAACAGAGTTGGTTGTTACTAAATCACGTCCTACTCTTTTTCTGTGCTTTCACAAGCAGATTACATCTTCTTCAGTTTGCCCATGCCTCCAGCTCTTTTGTAGTTTTAACTCTGCAGTGTTCATGGTGCTTATGTACAGAATCAGTTTAAAAGACTGTCGAATTCCTTTTCTCTTGAAAGTGAAAGTCACTCAGTTGTGTCCGACTCTTTGCTACCCCATAGACTATACAGCCCATGGAACTCTCCAGGCCAGAATACTGGAGTGGGTAGTTATTCCTTTCTCCAGGGGTCTTCCCAACCCAGAGATACAACCCAAGTCTTCCACATTGCAGGAGGATTCTTTACCAGCTAAGCCACCAGGGAAGCCCAAGAATACTGGAGTGGGTAGCCTATCCCTTCTCCAGTGGATCTTCCTGATCCAGGAATTGAACCAAGGTCTCCTGCATTTCAGGTGGATTCTTTACCAGCTGAGCTACCAGGGAAGCCCCAGAGCAAACAGTTGACCCTGACACAATCAATTTTCTTAAAAAATTTTACTTGAGTAGAGTTGATCTACAATATAAGGTGAGTTTTAGGTATACAGCAAAGTGAATCAGTTATATGTATACATATATCCACTCATTTTAGATTTTATTCCCATGTAGGTCATTCATTACAGAGTATTTAGAAGGGTTCCCTGTGCTATACAGTAGGTCCTTACTAGTTACCTGTTTTACATACTAGTGAGTATGTGGATCCCAAACTCCCAATTTATCCCTCCCTTCTTTCTCCTCCCTGGTAACTATGTTTGTTTTCT